TAACCCTAACCCTAACCCTAACCCTAACCCTAACCCTAACCCTAACCCTAACCCTAAACCCTAAACCCTAAGATAAGCGACGGATAAGCGACATATAAGCGATAGACGAGCGATGCATAAGCGATAGACGAGCGATGCTAGCCGTATATAAGGCTTTACTCTTTAATAAGCGCTTCTAGCCGTATATGGACCGCTTTCTAGTGCAAACGACGCTAGCTAATTAGTGTCCGAATAAAATCGAACATAGAACGCTCCCTAGTATAGACGACGCTAGCTAATAAGCGTCTAAATAAAATCGAACATTAAAAGCTTCCCTAGAAATCCAGGCTTACCACTTAACCCTAGGCGTCTAATAACAAAGACGCGACTTGTAAGATAAACATCGAACAATAACATTTAACCAAAATCTAAGACAGTTTAATAGCACTTAGGTGTTACCCAATAGATCCGACCAATTGGACCATCTGGGAAGGAAGCAAAAGTGTTTAACCAGACAGCTCAAGGGATCTACCAAACTCTGTGGCCAGACATACTTTCAAACCGCCAGGGATCTTGTGCTCGTTAAAAAGCGCATAGTTTTCGGAGATGTTCTCGAACTTGTCTNNGCAGATTTGTCAACGTCAACGACTAGGACTACCACATCCTGCATGAAGTGAAAACATACCGGTATGGGTGATAACGAATGATGGATCGTACTCGCCGCTGACCACGATATCGAGGAGATAGGGAAAGTACTATGCGTGGAACGTTAGTTGATCCTACGCAAACGAATATCGAGTGACTACCTTTTGTGCCATGAGTTGGCCACCACGCAGAGTGATCGTCTTCTCCATCAACATACCAATAGGAAATTGATTTGTGTTGAAGAAGAAGTCACCAATGAGGGCGATGTTGCCACACTTCCTGGTGGATTTTATAATGGAAGTGACGGTATCGCCTTGATCGCCTTCAAGGCCAACCTTGCGCATCAGCGTGTGAGCAACAGAGGTCTCGCTTCGGAAACCGCTGGCTTCGATACCTCTGTCCAGTCCATGAGGTTCTATGGAGAGGATGTACTCGGTAACATCTGTATGCTCGTTGATGTTGATGGGAATGGCTCCTAGAGATCGGGCTATGGCGAGACGGTGAGGATCCTTGTCCATCGCATAAACTTTCTTCGCACCACGGAAGATGGACAATGCCTGGATCGAGAGTCCAATCGCGCCACAGCCCCAGACGCCAACGATGTCTCCCTTTGAGACCTCGGCAAGTTCACAACCATGCCATGCTGTGGGCGTAACGTCGGCAAGGGCGACCAATTTCCTTGCGTCCACATCCAATGGAGCCCGGACACAGGTCAAGTCAGCGTTAGGCACGCGACACCATTCTGCTTGGTCTCCAGGATATCCTCCAGTAAGATGAGAATAGCCAAAGATACCAGAGAGCCGATGTCCCCACATGCCCTCCATCTCTTTGCTAGGGTTTGTAGCATCGCACAGAGAGTACTCCTGTCGTTGGCAGTAGAAGCATTCTCCACATGCGATGACTGGGAGGATGATCACCCTGTCACCTCTCTTGAGCTTACTGACCCCGGAACCGATGTCTTCGACAATTCCGATGGCCTCATGGCCCATGATGTCACCTTTCTGCATTGCCGAATTGAGCTCGCCAACATACATGTGCAGGTCAGATCCGCAGATGGTACAATGGGTGATGCGGACAATGGCATCTTTACTTGCAGTGATGGTTGGCTTTGGGACGACCCCGATCTCAATAGTTTTGGTGCCCATCCACTGAGCTGCCCTCATAGTATCGTGAGGATGCGGCTTGTACTTAGTGGTAAGAACATTGCTGCAATTTTCTCAGATTCTAGCCAAAGTATTGTGAGAATGCTGGGACTTACTTGGCAGCTACCTCGGGCATGGTTGTTGATGGTTCGTTGTTTGATGAGATAGGTTGATGATTCTGGAGCTGGCGCAAAGGAAAGGGCAGCTGACTTATATGCTGCTAGTCTTGTATACCGTGACGACTGACATCGGATGTAAAAGTGATGCGTTTTTGTGCTCATCTCTCGATCCTAGATCCCTCGTTCATGTACACGATCAGGAATGTGGCAGTACGGTGTCTCGCTATTCTCGACAGAGCCAGGACCCTGGGGAGCCATCCCCGGACCTTCTTCCAATGGTAAGTCTCGGTAGGCTAGGTGCGGTTATGTTTGGCGTGACCGACAGTGGACTGAGCAGAGCTCGAGCCGTACATCGCCAGAGTGACAGAGAGCAGGGCATCCAATTCGCATCGTATCATGTCATGCGTGGAGTTGTGCAGCACTTGATCTACAGAAGCTGGCATAATCTTCTTACAATGTCAGCCAATACTCAGTATGAGACACTGTAGTAGTGAGCGGGCCTCGCTGCATCCTTCTGCAAGCGGATATGTACATGCGTATTAGCTGATACGGTCCTCCAATAGGTCAGCGTCAGGACGTTCCGACCCACCGCGCGGGGTATACTTGAGTACATGCACGTGTAGTGTGATGGACGGTACTCGTACTCGTACACGTGTGGTCAATGCCCGGAACACGTCGAAATCGGTTGATGCCTGCCCCTGCTGCAGTCATACAGCGGGTATCGCTCGTTCAAAAGTCATTGAGATACATCTATCGATATCTGTCAATGAGTCACTCCTTGATCATACACTATACAGGCTCATGAATATCAGTTCTTGTACGTCATCATGGTGGAATTAGCGTCGCTGAGATCATCATTAGCAGCAACTGTGTTCTGATGGAATGCGAGCCTATTGTGGATACCTATGCAGGCCTGGGTCAGGTTCAGCTGGCGTAATCGTCTCTGATGAAGCTCGAAGCAGCCAGTCCTATGGCGAGAGACTTTTGCCACCCGCATATCGGCCTCAGTTCACGGTCGTGCTAGGGTTCCCGTGATCGTTGATCGTTGTCGTTTGTCTCGCTCACATCCTGACTGCGACTAGAGTAACGTCTACTGTATGACGCATGTTGCGCAGTACAAAAACCTGAGAGCGATGATCCAGGCGCCTTACGATTAGACAGTCGCTCTCGCTGCAGTGCTCGATACCTGCTTGGAGCGATGAACGTAAATGCAAGGACCTCTAATGGTCTTTAATTGTTGCGGCAGGTAAAAATGCCCCAAAAGCTTCGAAGCAAGGCGGAGCGTGAAGTTGTGTGTCGTCCAAGAACGATCAAGAAGATTTTGAGCTATCATGCTTGCCGGAGTTCGAGTGATTAGAGACGATGGCGGTGGTCATCACTTGCCACGTCTTTTCATTGATAAAGAAGACAATTCCTTCTTGGTCCTATTCGTGTTGTCCATCCACTCTTATGAAGGAATCATATCCGCATCTTGATATCATGTCGCGCTCATCTATCGATTCATCCACTTCAATCTCCACTACCGACACCTCGGTCATTTCTCTCGAGAGCCTAAGATGTCGTTCCATGCGGGTGTTCCTTGTACAGACTGCCCGTGGCCTGTTCTCCTCGTCAGGAGGCTACAAGGCTAATCTCTGCTTGCTGCGTTATCTTGCCTCACGCGGCCACTCTGTTCGACAACTCTGCTACACGCACAAAAGTGAAATTGAAGGTTATATCCAGGAGATGGTCCATGGTGGCCAGCATGATCTGCGCCTTAAAAGAAAGAAGCTTCACCTGAGAGATCAGGATGATGTCCCTGGCATCGTTGTCGAAGTCGTGGAGCTGACGATGGAAGATGGGGTGGAGATAGTAGCACTCGAGATGGACCCGTTCGACGCTGCATTTGGAGTTGTCGGGATCCACAGAGCAATGGCCATAGAAACGGCGGAGTACATTGAGGTAATGCATTCCATCATATGAGACCTCCAGACTGAGAAATATTGTGCTAACGAATGATCCGCAAGGGAGGGAGACNCATCAGGACGCTTGAGCGATTTTGTAACCTTTTTGCAGAATGAGATGATCAAATATTCGCCCACACATGTCATCTCGAACGATGGCTTATCTATGCAGGCCAGCAGAACTCTGGAGCTTCCGGACCTGGATGTATGCCGGATTGCAGTTTTACATACTGCCGAGCAGCTGCCTTTTGGGCCTTTTGCTGGAGGCCTTCCTGGTCATGCGAACTCACCACGCGAGTCGGATCTTCTTCGAGAGCTTGACGGGATCTGGAGTGTATCCAAAGCCTTACAGAGTTACGCGCTCAAAAATGGGCAGCTACGGACAAGCTTTTTTGTGCATCATCCCTGGACCTATCTCGAAGACAAGACGCACCAGATGCCAGCTCAACTGCACAACTGGGACNAAAAATTTGTTGGTATGATCAATCCCTGCCCAGTCAAGGGTTCTGGCATCCTCGTTCAGCTTGCCAAAGCATGTCCGCGTCTTGACTTCCTAGCATACAAAAGCTGGGGCTTCAGCGATGAATTAGACAAGCAGATGGAGTCACTGCAAAACATGACGTGAGTCTCGATTCACGGAGTTTCAGCTTACATGTCTGACACATTCTCATACACATAGCNNATACGCCCATCGTGCACAAACATGGACGAGGCCTGGGAGGTAATCAAGGTCCTCCTTGTGCCCTCTGTATGGTACGAAGCATGGGGCATAGTGGTCATCGAGGCTCACCTTCGCGGCATTCCTGTCATCTGCTCGGATGCTGGCGCATTACCGGAGGCATCGCGGGGTCTTGATCACGTCATTCCAGTGAATGCTATCAAAGGTGAACGTGATGTCAATGGCGTCTATCTTGTGCCTGAGCAAGACATCAAGCCGTGGGCAAGAATTCTGAACAAGCTTATGAGCGACAGGGCGGCGTATGAGAAGCTATCGTCAGAGGTGCATACCAAGACAAAGAGATGGCTGAGGGAATTGGACATGACTGCCCTGGAGAGTTGGCTACTCGGCTTGAACAAGGATTTGGAGAAATGCAGCGAAAGCTAGGGACACGATCGACCGTTCAGACACATGAACGAAATTGCGACCTAGATTCTTCGGAGCCAAAATCAACGCAGAAAGTGTTCACTCCAAAGTATGACGTTCAGATTGCCGGGCTATGACGGGTGGGCTGCTGCGAACTTGCATGCGGAGCAGGACGGGCAGATTGAGTTCAGCATGAACGAGGGGCCCCGCAACAAGCGAATCCTGAACGCATACCTGCAGTGAGGTCTCGTCATCTTGGTCCCAAAATGCTTGAACGATGGATAGATCTCGATATTCGTTCCAGGTCGTTATGTGATACTGCTTTGACATGGTGGCGTGCAGCTGATTTGATGGTCAGATGGGTTTGAGGATAAGTTCAAAGGACCAGCCTGTCTCGATGCGGCAAAACATAATCAATACTGGCTGCATCTCCTCTCATCGATTCCTATCACATGAGAGTCTTTGCCAGAACATCCGCTATCTGCAGTACTCGTCGAATCCGAACTAGACCGTTCTTGTCAAGAGCTCTGGATACAAAAGTCTGTCAGCGACGTGCTTGTGGAAGCAAAGTCGCTACCAGTAACATGTCCAATACCAATCAGTTTGGAAAGAAGCGCGCTTGGTGGAAGGAATGCGTGGTTTATCAGGTTCGTCGCTTACTCATCCTGGATTAAAGTAAAATGCTTTACAAACGACATTTTGNNCAGATTTATCCCGCGTCGTTCCAGGATACCAATGACGATGGTCACGGAGACGTCAAAGGGATCACAACTCGATTGGACTACCTCAAGTCTCTTGGAAGTAAGTAGCTTTGTCTGTGACCGTTTGCTAGGCTGATCAGTTGTAGTTGATGTGATCTGGATCTCCCCGAGTACGTTCTGAATATGCTTGGAAGACGTAAGCTTACCTCGATCANNGTATACAAAAGTCCACAGATCGATATGGGCTATGACATCTCCGATTATATGGACATTGATGGTCGATACGGCTCGTTGATCGACGTGGATGAGCTGATTGCCCAATTGAAGAAGCGCGACATGAAGCTCATGATGGACTTGGTTGTCAACCATACCTCTGATCAAGTATCACGTTGTCTCGAGCGAATGACTTGCCAGCGCTGACGCTGTTTACTACNNCAGCATTCCTGGTTTCTCGATTCGCGCTCATCTATCAACCACCCAAAGAGAGGATGGTACTTCTGGAAGAAAGGCAAGATCGATACGGATGGCAAGCGTCTGCCTCCAAACAACTGGTGCCGCATTCTGGACACCACCAAATCAGCATGGCAATGGGATGAGGAGACACAAGAATACTATCTGTCTCTGTTCTCACCGGAGCAGCCTGATCTGAATTGGGACAATCCAAATGTTCGAGCTGCAGTACACGACATCCTACGATTCTGGCTAAATCGGGGTGTGTGTGGGTTTCGGATGGATGTCATCGACCATATCAGCAAAGTTCAGAGCTTTCCGGATGCCGACAGGACCATTCCTGGTCAGTACTGTCAGCCCGGTAATGCATATTACGCCAATGGGCCTCGACTCCATGAGTTCCTTCATGAGATGAAGGCAGTACTTGATGAATATGACACAATCACAGTTGGAGAGATGCCTTTTGTGAACGATGAGGATGAGATCATCCGAACCGTTGGTATGCAGGGATCGCTGAACATGATCTTCCTCTTCAAAATCTTGAACATGGACAACGAACCTGGTCAATCAAAGTGGTCATACCATGAGTGGGACGCTACTGACATGAAGCGTATTCACGATCAGACACAGCGACTGATGATTGAGCGTGGTGGCTGGAACGCGATCTTTACCGAAAACCACGATGGCCCAAGATCTATATCACGATTTGCTGATGATAGTGATCAATGGAGAGACTTTGCCGCGAAGATGCTCTGTACCAAGTCGATCACACTTGGAGGAACCGAGTATATATATCAGGGCCAGGAACTGGGCATGCGGAACATTCCTTCTGACTGGTCCATCGACGAGTACAAGGATGTAGAATCTCAAAGCTACTGGCGAGCGTAAGTCATGATGTTTACTGTCAACTCCGACCGGGTATTGATCTATTCTGCAGCGNCTCAAGCGCAGTATGCCAACAACCATCGAAAACTGGATTACGCACGCAAGCTCCTTCAACTCAAGGCTCGAGATCATACCAGGACTCCCATGCAATGGAGCGCCGCACCAAACGCAGGATTTAGCAAGTCACACGTCAAACCGTGGATGCGAGTCAATGACGACTATCCCAATGTAAACGTTGTGAGACAACTAGCAGATCCTGATTCGGTGCTCTCGTACTGGAAGCGCTGCCTAAAGTTTCGCAGGGAACACAAGGAAGTCTTTATCTATGGCGGCTTTGAGATTTTGGATCCAGAAGACAAGGATGTCGTAGCCTTCCGACGCTTTTCTGAGCATGAAAGTTTCGTAACTGTTACAAACTTCACCGGCAAACATTTGAAGTGGTCGGGCCTGGGAGAAATCAAGATCAAGGAGTGGGTTATTGGCAACTATGAACTCGAGTCTCACAACGAGAGTCCAGGTAAGATAGTCAAGCTACGACCATGGGAAGGTATCATCGGAAGGTCTTGATACTGTTTTATAAAATGCATCCTTAATAAGGCACGATTTCTAAAAAGACTTAATCTTGTCCTAGCGCCATGTTCCACTGGAGATGATGTTAGGGTTTTTTCAGGTTTCATAGGGGTTTAATAAGGCTTTCTTAGCTATAGAAAAGTAACCCCTTTTTTTTGAAGTAGGGAATAGTCATATAATATAAGATAAAATCTATAATAGTATTTTTACAATACACTATAGTCCTTTTGATATTCTTTATATATAGAGGTTCTATCTATAAAACAAGTCGATTTATGAGGATGATTTCGCTACTGCTCGGTTCTTTGTCGGCAATGCATCGGCATGCTTCTCGACTTCGATTCCACTGCTGATCAACGAGGTCGCATACCCTTCTTACCGTGGTATCCGCGGAGCTCTGTACAGCTGTAGATGGGTAAGTCTATTCTCCTCGTTCTTCTGATTATGTACTCACGACCTTCTAGNNTACGCTGGTGGACCCATCGCCGCTTTCCTCACGTACGGCACCCGCAACATGGACAACTCCTGGTCTTGGAGAATCCCCTCGTTATTCCAGATCTTGGTACCTTTCCTCACTCTCCCTGGCCTGCTCATGGCGTCTCAAAGCCCCCGATGGCTTGTGTCTATGGACCGTACTGAGGAAGCCCGTCAAGTATTGGCCAAGTGGCATGATGGCGGCGACGAAAACTCACAGCTCGTCAACTACGAGATGATTGAAATCACCACTACCATCCAGCAAGAGAAAAGCGCAACCTCCAGTACCAGCTATGCTGAGATGTTCATCACTCCTGGATACCGCAAACGTCTGTTCATCTCTGTCACTCTCGGTATCTTCGGTTAATGGGTAGGCAATGGTGTCATCTCTTACTATCTGGCTATGGTCCTAGAGACTGCTAGCATGACCAGTGTCACCGACATCACGCTGATCTCTGGCTTCCTGCAGCTCTGGAACCTGATCTGGTGTGTCGCCGCAGCGTTCTCAGCCGATCGACTTGGTCGCAGACCTTTGTTTCTTACTTCGGCGGTCATCATGGGTGTCTCTTACGTCTTGGTCACCGGTCTATCAGGCGCTTTTGCATCCAACCAGATTCCTGACGTCGGTATCGCAGTAATCCCATTCCTGTTCATCTTCTTCGCCGGCTACGACATCGCCCTGACGCCTCTTCTCATCTCATACCCTTGCGAGATCTGGCCATACCGCCTGCGCTCCCGCGCTCTGACAGTCACGAATGTCACGACCGTACTTGCCATCTGCTTCAACACTTTTGTCAACCCCATTGCCTTGGAAAGTATCGTGTGGAAGGACTACATCGTGTTTGTGGTCGTGCTGATCGTCTACGGCGTCACGGTCTGGTATGCGTATCCAGAAACTCGAGCTTTCTCGCTTGAGCAGATGGCTGTGGTGTCTGATGGTGATGCGGCTGGGGTACCTCATCCTGCAGAGACGGTCGAGAGATCTGGTAGTATGGTATCGAAGGGTGAGAAGGAAAGCGTTGTGCGAGTCGCAGAGGGTCTGGGGGTCCGTGAACCGTAACATCTTATTTTCGATCTTTGTCTGTTCCGCGAGATTTTCATCATTACTCATCGCAACGGTTTCATGTCATTCCCTTATCGATTGAAGTGGTCTTCTGCGGAGGCTCCAGAAGAGATGATATTGTGAGAAGTCGAAAAGGAGCAGCAATTGCGATCTTGACTAGGGTTAAACACTTTACATAAGTCAAACTACCTTCTTTTGTACGCTTGTTCTTGTAAAGATGTTTCTGTAGGAAATCATCAGTTAGATCCCCAAGTACATTGAAGAGCTTTCTTTCTTGTCCCTCGTCTATCTGATAACATATAACTGTTTGCGATTTCGTTGTGATCGTCCCATGGCTTGTTAAGCGGATAGCCTGGTACGCGGACGGCTTAGTAAGCAGACGGCTTGGCAAATTTCTCACTCCGACTTCTTGCGAATGATCAACATGAACAACGTGACTAAGAGACAATGACAAGATGCTCGCAGCCCATACAAGTAACGACGGAATTCAGCCGGCTAGTGGCAGGACTAAAAAGTAGGAATCCACAGTACTCGCTCCACCAACTCTTCCTAAGATTCCTGACGCAATCGTTATCACAGGACCGACAAAAGGGTTCGTAATCGAGTCGCTCAGCAAGCCTTTCGAGAAAGACAAGCTACATATGTTCGAGATCTCGAAAGGCGCCTGGAGCAGGCTAGCCGACCAGAAGACGAACGGCTGGCCAAAGTGTTGGCCGAGAATGCTATGCTTCGATCACTGTTGANNTCCAGAACCCGCGAAGGTCTCAGACAAGCAACAAACACTCAGACTCGTACTTTGGAATCACTGACAGCTGCTCTACTCGACTGCGACGTCTCAGCCACAGATACAGAGGATTCTCCGACCGCAGCCGCTCGCCACGAGGATGGGGCAGGTCCCACTATCGTGAAAAACTTGCAGAGTGTAATTCTGCCTACGGCAGTTACGAACGCAGACTCGCGAATTGAGACACTCAAGATGCTGAACATTCAGGGAGAGTCTCAGGCAGATCCATTTGCGGTGAACAACAACGATGCATGGATGCAGGGTCTTTTCACGAAGAACCATGATAACACTGGCACACCGGGTATCTCAAGCATCACGACGTCTCAGGGCGCAATTGAAGAGCAGATCTCTTGGTTGAGTCAACACGATACAGATAATGCCATGTCGACCCCTCATCCTCCAGACTTGACGATAGTCCCATCTACGCGTGGTGTCCAACCATCTTGGGCCTCGCAACGCCCACAGGAGATTCTTATGGCTGGCTTCGAATGCGAACGAATACACCTCCGCGATCAATTTTCCCACACCTGGTCGCATCAGTATCAAATGGGTACACCGGTCTATCGTAGCGTCCTCGCGAATGTTCAACAATCCGGTCGGAGTATCCCTCTTACAAACTCTGGCTTTTCAGACCACTTGAATGCCATCAAAGATTGTTTTGGTCCTTTGAGGTATTCGCAAGATCTCATGACCTCTGATTATGCCCGGTATGTGAGTATTGAGCCCCCAACCGCCTTTATAGCTGATGAAAGTAGGTTTTTCAAATCCGTTTCGGTGACCTTGTCATTGTTCAACAGTCTTGCAAGACCAGAAGTCCTGGGTTGGTATGCGCCAACCAAGTATTACCAACACATCGCCGGTGTGGTTATGTGGCAAATCCGGCCCTGTCGTGACACATATGATCGGCTTGCCACGCGATACAGACCGACTGCCCTTCAAATGATGGAAAGATACCCTGCGATTATCGACTGGTGCCCCTTCGCTTCTGTCCGAGACCGACTTATCACTTGTCACGCTGCTAATCCTCGGATTGATGAAATCATCTGTAACATGGCGACCTCTTATGTGGTTGAAGCTGACTTGCGTGACCTTGTTCAAATCAACGGGCACTCGCTTAAATGCTACATCAGGGTCTGGGATATCATACAGTCCATGGATCGTAAAGCAAGCGATGAACAACATACGGCTCAGCCGAAGGGACATCTTCCAGCACCGACTGCAGCATCGTTGTTCACGAAGCCATACGCGTCACAAGTTTTCCAGAAGTTACATATGGATGAGGGCATCACATTTTACAAGCTTGATCCTGCATTCTTCATGCAGTACCCCGAACTCATCGGTGACGATCATTGAATAATTGGCCAAGGTACTGCGATTCTGCCCGACATACAAACTACGCTGCCCGGACCCAGTGAGCTAGACGAAAGAATGACTACCACCTACAGACACTTTACTTCGTGGTCAATCGACGTCCTTTCGCAGGATTGAGATTAGCAACGCAAGAGTTTGGTCTGAATGCTCATCTTGCATGCTGCTGCGAGGCTTGACAAAATGGACTTCGCTGTCTAATACCAGGGCCAAACGCTATGAAAGCAAAAGGAACTGGAAGCAACATCACGGCTGCGAAGCCAAGAATGCTCGTAGCCCAGCCAATGCCCAAATTGGTGTACATGGTGTTCTGGGCCAGAGGAAGGATCGCTCCGAGGATACTCCTTGTGCAGCTAGCAGCCGCGAGGGCACTAGCGGAGTATATGCCGTACGAGTCTGTCAGATAGTTGAAGAGAGCTATCAGGATCAGGTTGAACGCAATGCCGTACGGCAGGCCGGACATCATAGGTATGATCCAATGGAAAGACCGCGATGAAGTCCAGCCCAGCCAGAAAAGCGATGCCACAAGCAATACACCACCAATGCACGCGAGTGGTAATCTGCGATACTCCTCCCTTGTTGCCCATTGTCTTCCCCTCCTCTTGCAATTTTCTCGAAATACGTCGTAGGCCATACATAACGGCATGGAAAGGATCGTGCCTACTCCGATAGGTAAAAAGGACAGACCTGCAGTCCTGTGATCCATACCGTAGACTGTGCGAAAAATGTATGGGTACGCCGCGAAGAAGACGAACAGGATGCCGAAAACAAGTGCGCAGTACAAGGATGAGAAGAACACGATCGCCTCGGTAGAGAAGAGCTTCGGTGGTCGCTTTACGGCTTTCAAGAGTATGGCACCGAGGCTTCTTGTGTCCTGATCAGTGTCCGACACGAGTGCTCGGCACGATTTGCTGCAGCGCGCCTTGTTCATTCGTGATCGCTCGAGGACTGGAGCATAGGTCTCAGGTAGGAAGATGATGCCCACGAGTGCGATCGCTGCAAGAGTCGTGGTCAGGACAAAGGATATGCGCCAGTCGCTGTACGCAACAAATCCAAAGATGGTCGGGCCCAGCACTGTGCCTAAGGTAGTTCCCTGAGTCNNGCAAAGTCAGTATGCTGTACATATTTTGATCGTTAGACTGACCATAGTATAAGCAGCTGTGGCAGTGCCGCGTGACGAATGGTTGGGGTAGATGTCCGCATAGACCCCACCAATGATGGAGATTGGTGCAGAACCACCCATGCCCGCAAGTGAACGAAAAACCAAAAGTGCTGCATAGCTTGGGCTGAAGATACATGCCAGGGACATTGTGAAGAACAGCCCGCCTGTCGCCATCTATACTTTTTTNCGCCCAAAATGTTCACTCAGCGGTGCGAACAGCAATGGCCTAACGACGTACCCGATCAGGTACGTCGTGGACAACAGTATCTGTTCTTGCGGCTCAACAATGTCAAAGTACGAAGCGACGTAGAAGGACGAGCCACCTGGAAGACTGGAGGAGAGTGTACTGTTGAACATCGAGAGCCCGACCACTAGGGCGATATAGAGCTTCTTGGCCTGACACAAGTCAGATGCGTTTGTTGAGGAGTCTTTGGATGTACGGACCCTGGAAAATCGATGAGGGTGCCTATGATCGTCTTTCAGGACGAAGAGTTGCCTGGCATGACATGAATGGACTGCATCGTTTTGCGGCTCAGGTTTCGATGGCATGACACTCAACCTTCTTGCGGTGTTGATCAAGATGGGACTGCCACGATAGCCTGCAAATTTGTAGCCTCGAAGGGGGTGCATAGGGCAAGACGCCTTTACAGGGCGCATCTGCGATACCGCTGGCATGATCTTTCACTTTCTTGCGCTCGATATGTCTTTTACGTGAGCGTAGATCCGTCACAACAATGGTCTATCCAAATTTGGCCTGCCGCTCCCGAGCGGGAAACGAGCTTACAAATCTTGGATCACTGGCGGGGTTCCAGCACAAACACAATTTGGCAACATGAAGATAATGCAGAACCAGATGCTGCAGGCTACTGTACTTCTGTATGCCACCTGAATTTAAATCGAGCAAGGGATTGCCTCAGACCTTCTTCGTGCATACGATGAGGAGGACGATCGAAATTTGGAACGACGATATGATAGGAGAAAACCAGTTATGCATAAGTTTTCCGATTAGGGTAGAACTAGATGGGCGGAACCATGACGGTTCCCCTCAGACTCTGCGTGGCTGTGCCTCCCAACCGTATCTCTTTGATAAACCTCTTCCCCTCACCTTCAATACCAACAGCCACATAGACGTCGATGTCGCTGCGTCGTCCAAACTCAACACCTTGTGTGATAGCAATCTGCACTTCGAGTTCTGTACATTCGTGTAGCGCGTAGTATGAGCCCAATGCTCCAGCTGCAGCTCCTGTGGCTGGGTCTTCAAAGCTTTTCTGCATCATGCGCGTCCGCAGGGCAACGTGTCTGCTCAAACTAGAAACGCTTGTCGATGAAAGTACGACGTAGTAGTAGCGAGCCATGTACGTGTTCTGCCAGCCAGCATCGAGAAGTTCGTTCGCAGTGCTGAAGGCCGACGGTCCAGGGTAGACAAGAGCAAGCTGTTCAAGGGTCTGGAGCTTGATGAGCCCAAAGTTCATCCCGTCTACGATGCTGAAGATTGGTGCCGCGAGTTCTGCTTCGAGGATGGCGGCATCATTATGTAGTCCCGTGGCATGAAGACTGCTTGATAGGTCTCTCGTCCTCTTGAGGTGTAAGTGCGTTCTATGAGGGATGCTTATAGCGACCAGACCAGGGCTATTGGCATGGATCGCAATGGGCCCCGCTTTGGTGATGAGCGTGTTCACTTTGGCAGTCTGCAAATACACGGCGGTACCGACAGCTGTCTCAGGTCAGTTAGGCTGGTTGAATTGCAAAAGTGCTTGAGACTGACTTGGATGGCCAGCAAAAGGCAGCTCGAGGGTAGGCATAAAAATATCGATCTTGCGTTGACTGGCATCATCACCTCCATTGCCAGTCCCATCCAAGTCGTGGATAAAGACCGTTTCCGATAGATTGAGCTCCCTTGCAATTGTCTGTTTTTGTGCTTGCGTCAAGGCAGGCTGTGATGCTGTAGGCTGCGGTAGATGTACAATGGCAAGAGGGTTGCCCTTGAAAGGTGTCGTTGTGAAGACATCCACATATACGAAGTCGAGGCAACTTGCCATGCCGCGCTTTGGAACGATTTTTCGAGTAATTGGGTGAGAGAAAGATGATGGATACTTCTTCAATGAAAGTATACATCAAAGCTTGCCTGATGACGCAGCAAACGTCCATGACTAATCGGTGTTTAGTCAGATACGTTTGACAAATTTTCTCACGTGCAAAACCCGAAGCGCGGATTATGGTCTGCCTCCCAACGATCGAGCAGAGAATGCCCGTACATATCTATCAAAAACTATCGGAGAGAGCCTGTTGCCTCTCAGATGGAGCTTTCTCAATAATCAAAGTGATTTACGGGGTCACGTATTCATGGGCCGCGTCTGACACTCACTCAACAAAGATCAATACAGAACTATGTTTGTTGATCATGGACTGAATTACTCCAGGATATCCTCAATCCAATATAGTCCTGTTCATGCCTGAACAGCAGTGCACTCCATCTCAACATCTGTACTCCAGGGAAGTGTCTTGACGGCTACGCANACTATCATTCTTCAGTCAGCTATACGTCGGCGAGAGATCAACGGGTCTACTTACGTGCGGCAGGGCTTCTCATTCGGAAAATACTGAACATACACCTCATTCATAGCAGTGAAATTGTCCATATCGGAGAGATACACATTGAGCTTGACCACATTGTCCAGCGAAGTGTTCGCAGCCTCGAGCACCGCCGCGAGATTCTTCAGAACCTGGTGCTGCAAAGCTGTCAGTGACGTCCGCGTCGAGAAGACGTGACAGCAATGTGCTAGTCAACATACCGTGTGTGCTTTGATGTCGCCATCGATGATTTTTCCACTTTCAGGGTCTATCGCTATTGTGCCTGAGCAGAATATCAGGCCATTTACTGCGATAGCTTGATTGTAGATGTTTGGAAGTGATGGAGCCTTGTCGGTAGAGATGATCTGCTTGACGGGCATTTTGAGGGAAGCGAGTTGTATCAGAAAGTCGTCTGAACCAAGGAAAACAATGGGAATCAATGGCGAAATAAAGAGATTTGCGTAGTCTACGAGCTGACAAATACATCGTGCGAAGGATAAGAAATATCCAATACATTTGTCGGCTGTACGCTCAACGACTGAGTTTACGTGATCTGGAGTTTGTCATGACGCCGAATGCGGAGCGGGGATTTGGTGAGAGAGCGGGGAAGAAAGCGAACAATGCAAAGATGCAACATTCATCATCGAACTCAGCACAACAACATGATGAAATTCTTGGTCAAGACTTGATCTCCGTTGGAATGCGGCCCGGAATGCGGCCCTAAACGGTCGATACCGAGAACGCTCGTTCTGTTCAAGCAATCTTTGCTTGTCTATCATCGTTGTCAATTCTGCCTCATGGGACCAAAAGGTACCGCGACTTGCAAGAATGAATTCATTTCGCTTGGAACTCTGCAAAGGATGGAAGCCAGTGCTCTTGCTGTAGACAGGTAGGGAGATGAGCGGCTCAGATGATCAGGGTATACTCTTCCACGAAGGGTGATTGGGCACATTACTGGAATCAGATTCCCTCCTCTCATGTTCCCGCAACGGTGGTGGCATCTCAGATCAAGCAGTGAAGCCGTTCTGTATTCCCACATCGCAACGCAAACTTCGACTGAACCGGGGCTAATGCAGTGGGAACGCCCCATGAACAACCAAACGTGTGATGGAACACTTTTGGCGATGCGTGTTTCACACGAACCCCGCCCCGGATTTCACCCCGCGCCAGAAACGACAACATGATCTTTCACTTGCCCAACAACAACAAACTTCGTGCGACTACACTCAGCTGCATCATTTGTCTTCCACACCTTGCTGACACTTTCGCTCCTCTTTTCTGATTTTCAGCCTCACCTCCCACTGTGCTAGCATGGAGACGAAGACATGGAAAATGCTTGGTAAGCATAAACTCATCTCTGACGATGTCTCCCGAGCGTGAACTCACTGCGAACGACAGAGAACAACCCAGATGTCATGAACGAGCTAGCAGAGAAACTAGGTCTTTCATCATCCCTCCAGTTCTTCGACATCTACTGTCTAGATGGTCCTGAACATTTCGCCCACATCCCTCGCCCTGCTCTGGCTCTGTTGGTCATCATCCCACTCACGGACGCCTGGGATCGGAACCGCAAAGCCGAGGACCGGGACAAGGAGACTTACCGTGGCTGTGGACCAGAGGAGGCCGTGATCTGGTTCAAGCAAACCATCGGCCATGCATGTGGCTCCATCGGTCTGCTGCACAGTCTGATCAATGGCCCTACCGTTGAGTTCATCAAACCCGACTCCGAGCTCGCAAAGATTCGCAGCCTTGCTATTCCACTGGATTTGATCAAGCGTGCCGAGATGTTGTACAACAACGAAGCTTTCGAGGTCGCTCACAAGTCAGTCGAGCAAGGAGGGGACAGTGACGCCGATCCAAAAGACAAGCGCGAAGGTGGACATTTTGTCAGCTTTGTCAAGAGTGAAGGCAAGCTATGGGAGCTTGAGGGTGACAGAAAAGGTCCTTTGGACAGAGGAAGCCTTGATGACAACGAAGATGTTCTCAGCCCGCGAGCATTGGATTTGGGTATCAAGAGAATTATCAAGCTGAACGCAGGTGGAGGTGAAAAAGACCTCCTATTCAGCTGCATTGCTTTGGCTCGCAAGCTCGAGTAAGATGGTAAAGGCTACACATCAGTCTGCGGGAACATATGACTCGTATGTCACGCTACACGCAGTAGCTTCGGGGAATGGGCAACAAGCTTTCTCACAAGGAAACAGAAAGCCAAGCAATGTTCTTTTACATAGCAGAGTATTATCATCCGACTACACATCATGACTTGACATTACTCCAAGGAGGCACGGCCAGAGGTCCCGGACACTTCTGCAACGACTATCTGGTACCTTCCATGATTGACTTGAGTACAGATTACTGCATTGCGACAAAATCCATATCGAGATCAAAAGTCTCGAGTCCAAACTACGAGGTTGCGTTAGTAAATAGGTGGTAATACCAGTCCAAACTAAGACCTACATCGAAAACTTCACCGTTCAACCACTCCATAGCTGTCGTCGAATCGATGACTTGAGTCGAAGTATCCTCACTGGCGTGTGACCCCTACAATATTGTAAAGTTTGATGAGCTTGCATTCTACAAGTTGGTCACCTTTCCAGACTCACCTTGCCAAGTCGATACGATGTTGCTGGAGACGTGGATTGTTCCGAACATTGGGTCACGGGATGCCGCTGGTGTAGGTCCAGAAAGCTTTGTGCACACGAGTATTTCGCGATCGTCCGGTCCCACACCCCTAGGTGAATCCTGAGCAGTGAGATGGCAGCAGATAGGGTTATGAAGCACCAAGGCTCGCTCTTGTCGCATCGCAAGTATCTGTCACTTGCCATGCTCAGACCGCGTTCCATGAGCTCGATGATAGAGTCGCAGCAGCTCATGACGATACTTGTGGAACCTAGAAGCTTGAGCACGTTGTGGATCATGTGATTTCAGATGATGACTTACTCNGGAGCCTGTAATAGCGTGATTCGAGTAAGAGTCAGTGAAGCCAACAAGAGGTCCTCACGCAAGCGAGTCATCGGTTGGAGACCCAAATCACTCAAACGGCATTCTAGGAGAAGCATCTCCCGAGACATCTGAAAACAAATGTTTTCCGAGACCCAGAATGACGAGCTGTCTTTCTGCAGGTATGGTCGGTGGATGGCCAGAATGCACTCCATGAGTTGAGACCTCAAAAACACATTGACAAGTAAGGGAATGCCATTGTGAGAGGACGTATCCCAAGTCGGGAGCATGACAATCTGTGCAGTGAGCTGATGCGTGTATCGGAGGACGTCATCGTATGTCAAAGGTCCAGCGATGGAGGAACAAAACAAGCGTCGAGAAATCTCCAACCGAAGTGGCCAGCTGCGCGTGCACAGAGTCTGATATGAATTTTGAGTATAGTGTTCGGTTGACAAAGATTCAGGCGCCTCTGTACAATGCTCATGTAGGTCCTTGTCCTCAACGTTGGAGGGACTCGCAAGGTCGCAGTCGATATTGTGAAGGAGTGTTGGCAGACCGAATTCGTACGAGGTTTGAAGTTCAAGCTCGCGTATCACATGCCAAATGCGTCGCCTCATCTCAATCATGAGAGTGTCTTCTGGGCGGCGTCCAGGATTATCGTATGGTAGTCCGTCCAGCATTGCTCTCTGCAACAGGTTGCTCGACTCTGTCCAGAACCTCTTCTTGTGAATCATGTTGATGCGTTTCGCTAGATAGCTCAGACAAAAGATTTGATAGTGAACGAGCTCGAAGCGCTTCGGACTCTGGTGCTGTAGCCATTCATCTATTATAACAATCCAGCGTGAAGGTAATGTCCTATAGCGCTCTCCCATCGGAGACGCGCTCACAGAAATAGCCATCATGGACAGGATCAGAGAAGTGATAGCGGGCGAGCGTGTTTGACACGGATCCCAAAAAGAATTGTAGTGCTTCTGGAAAGTGGGTACATGAATGATGCGATGAAGATGCTCAAAGTTGTCAAGGTAGAATTTTACCAAAACATCGGCATCGTCCTGTGGTGGGAGCATCGTGTCAAGTCCTAGATCCTCGCTCCTCGAGATGTGCACCTTGTGTTTCTTGAGCTTTGCACCAGCCGGTCGTAGCCATTCTTCAGTGACTTCGGTGATGAAAGGGACAATTTGCGTGATCNNTGAAGCGGAGGTGTAAGTGTCTTCGCAGCGTGAGTACTCTCGGAGATTGGATACCTCTGTGAAGAATTTGAAGAGCGAGTGCTTGGCATAATAACCAGGCGGAGAGCGATCTTTTGGATGGTCAAAAGAAGTTGCAGCTACGAGACGACCAGACTGATCGTCAACGGCATTCCTTGCTGTCACCGGTGGCGGCGTTGGTTGGAAAGCAAGCTTGGCGTGATTGCTCGCTGCATCGTCGGTATAGTTCACTTGAGGCTGACGATGGGAAAGAAGATCTTTCAAGGTGGTCACCTCGACGCGCAAACGCCGGATTTCTTGTCGTTCGTCTTGTGTCGATCGCCGCTGTTGATGGTGCAACTGCCGACTTGACGTGGGCGGTCTACCCGAGGGTGTGTCGTATGTACACTGATCGGGACGGCCTGCTCGCGAGCACCGCTGACAAGGCCAACTACGGTCGCATGAGAGCTGGGATTATCAGTTGGACCGGTTCGCGTGGAGTTGATATTAGATTGTTCCAAACTTTNNCTTCGCTCTGCACTCACCACAGCTCAAGGGCAAGCGTCGTCTGCGGGCCTGCTTATCAGGCGTTCCGTGTGTGGTAGCGCCACCTTGTGCGTCGCCGCTCGTCGACATTGTACGCGGATGTCCGTATATTAGCGAGTCTTGAAAGATGGTGTCGCACAAGAGAGATGGTTGAATTGCGCCTCGGCGGAAATCAACTGCAGCAGGCTCGGTGTTGACTCTCATCGCCTAACTCCGACGACATTGCCGAACATCTCCGCCATCAACGAACATCCCCGACAGATACTTGTGCAGAACCTCATCGGAGATAGTCGCAAAATTGTGCGTGACGAGCGCAAGTCCATGCGGTACTCGAATGGCATCGCAGTATAAAGCCAGCCTTGCGACTTGCAGCTTGAGTCAAGATCCGACACGTCCACACATACTCAGCCCAGTCCACAGGCAACAACATCATCATCATCATCATCATCATCATCATCATCATCATCATGTCATTTTCTAGAGACTCCAAAACAGACCAAACGAGCTCTTCTATCGCCGCAGATCTCGAGTACAACAAATCGGAGGAACAGACTGCTAGACACGTTGCTACTTCTGCGCCTTCTTTCGCAGAGGGCGGTGCTCAGGCCTGGCTGGTAGTCGTTGGCTGCTGGTGTGTCTCGTTCGTCTCATTCGGCATAGTCAACTCGTTCGNNGGTACGACCCAGACCATACTTTCCCATGACAATCGACCACTGACCTGCTGCAGAGCCTACGAAACTTACTACCTGCGGAACTTTCTTCGTGACTATTCTCCCTCCTCAATTGCTTGGATAGGCTCCATTCAAGCATTCTCCTAGTTCTCAGCAACTCTATTCGCCGGACCCATCAGTGATCGCTATGGTCCTATGGTAAGCCCATCTCCAGCCCATCTTTGGGAGTCTCCCTTGACCTTGCGCACAGATANNATCGTCTGGCCATCTTCAGTGCTACTGGTCATTGGCATGATGCTCACCAGTCTATGCAACAAATTCTATCAGTTCATTCTGTGTCAAGGCATCCTTTTGGGTGTTTCATCGGGCCTCATATATGCCCCAGCAGTCTCTATCATTGGTCACTACTTCTTCAAGAAACGCGCCATGGCCATGGCTTTCGCCTCCACAGGATCTCCATTCGGCGGCATCATATATTCCATCATTCTGAACAATCTGATCCCAACGATCGGCTTTGGTTGGGCGCAGCGTGTTTGTGGCTTCCTGAGCCTTTTCCTCCTGGGCATAGCTGCCTTTACGCTCCGTCCTTTGCGCATTAAGAGGAAGGGTAGTTTTGTGCTTCTCGGCGCATTCAAGTCGCCAGGCTACTCGGTGCTTGTCGCGGCGCTCTTTATGGTCATTCTCGGATTCTGGTCTCCGTACTTCTATATCGCTGATTATGGCCTGTCTCATGGCATGTCGCCAAAGCTGGCTGGCTACCTTTTCGCATTCCTCAATGCTGGTTCTCTTTTCGGCCGTATTGGGGGTGGTCTACTTGCGTATCAGCTTGGTCAGTTCAATACCATCACCTTGGCTTGCCTATTCTCGGCCATTCTTCTCTTCTGTTGGCTGGCCATCACCTCGACTGCCGGCTTGATTGTCTTTGCCCTGTTGTTCGNNGGGGCCACGAGCGGCATCGTCATCGCATTGATGTTCCCAATAGTGGCACATATGGCGGATCATCCCAGTAAAGTAAGTGACTTGACGACACATCCTGATGGACACCTTACTGACACACATCNNCAGATCGGAACATATATCGGGCAGGCAACCTTTGTCATCGGTTTTGCTGGTTTGGCGGGTGCGCCCATCATTGGCGCTCTTTTTGCTACCTATCCGGGCTATACTCAGGGTATTGTCTTCAGCGCCACGGTCATGATGACGGGTGCTGTCCTTGCCGCAGCTGCCAGGTATATTTCTGCGGCTGACAAAATTATTGCTTGATGTGCAAAGTTCACTTTTTATATTCGCCAGTGGCGTGAACTATCGGTTACGAGGCTTGTCGAAGGCCTCTCGAACAACCACATGCAACAATAGACAATAGACTCAAGGCACTGTAATTGCTTTCCCGCATCAATCATACATCTCCACTCAGCCCCAAGGCGAACACAGTATTGCGTATCCACGCTATAGAGAACAGTGACAGAATGGATTATCTTCAAATCTACATAGCTCTTGCATCATATTGCAAAAGTGCAAAAATCTCGAGCTCACCACGTCCGAAGACGCCCAGCGACTAGGCAAGCTCGTATTCTCGCCTGTATTCAACCAGTCCACAGCGATCCGCACATTCTCAAAGCATGGCCACGATACATTGGCGAAGACCGCTGCCAACGTGCGTTTGCTTACAAAGAGTTTGCCGACCATGGCGCTCATGTAGCTTTTGGCACAGACGCTCCTACGGCTGCTCACTTTCCCTTTTCGAATCTGTACACAGCGACAACAAGACGATCTGCTATCGATCCAAGCTTGGAGACACTTACGAACGAGAATCTCAAATATGATCTATCTAGCGCCATGACCGCCGTGGGGAGGGGTGCTACCTATTCTATGTGGACAGAACACAGGGTGGGAAGATCGAGTTCAGGAAAAAGACAGACCTTGTCATTGCGGATCTGGACTGGAACGCAACGGACAATCTGCTGCAGGCAAAAACGCATGAGACTTGATTCAATGGTAAACGAGTATTCGCCCAATGTGGACTAAGCACAATCATCATATACAGGAAGCGCTTCAAGTTTAGACCTGTCTGTCATCTCATTTATTATCTATTCTCCACTCATACAGCATAATATGGGTCTTGAGGCTGACTCCAAGGCAGTCAATCATATAAATACATCCATACATTCTTGAGGGTATGTTCCTCAAGCAAAAGCTTATCTCAAGAGTTAATGGATATAGTAAGAAGCGCTGCCGATATTAGGTGGAATGCTGCCAGGAAGACTATTAAACACGTCTCCAATGTAATTCCTTGGCTCCAGACCCTTGTCATAGGTTCCATTCCAGTACATCAAGACGTCCTTGACAATTTCAATACCTGCAATGTAGATATTCTGGATGCTAGGCAAGAAGCCTTCCTGAGCTGCGTACAGCAGATGGTAAACCTCAGTCTCGCCTGGAGGAGCGCGGTCAAAGTCGCTGATGGTTCTCATGATGATGATGCGGCTAAAGTCAAGCTTCTTCAGTATGGCACCACGAAGGAGAGATTCGAGGGTAGCATTGTCTTCCTGCTGAGTACCGCAGTAAAGTCCAGTTCCGTTGGTCATGAGCTCGGTGAAATTGCTGAAAGCATATCCAAGAACAGATCCAGACCAATACTGATCTGATGTAGCACTGTCGCACTTGACAACGCTGGGAGGCTGATTGGCAGGCGCGTAGCCGTAAGTGGCGCGATATGTGGCAGCAGCTTCCGTATCGTTGAGAGTGGCAAGAGATGCCAGGTAAAAAGCACGTTCAAGGAGGTTCTCATTGACTTCGAAGACTTCGGTACCATATAGCGAGCCAGGATAATCTTGAGGGTTCGCCTCGTCAGGGTAGTATGCCCCTTGAGGGTAGTATCCGGAGGTAGCATTCGCAGAGACTTGAGATTGGTCAAACTCTTCTTGCAAGCCGACTTGCACTGCGTACTTGGCAAATGTCACTGATCCGGTAGTGACGACGTGGGGATTCCCACCAGAGATACCAGCAATCATAAAGTAAGTTGATGTCAGGTCAAAGCATCCGGACAGCCAAAGGGCGTTGACTGAACTGGCAGCATTGATCTCGCCTTCGCCGGTGGTCATCTGACAGACCTCTCCAGAGACGGTACAGTGCGCATCGGGAAACAAAGGAGAAAGTCCAGGCACAGTCACATTGTGTGCGTAAAGGTCAAGAGTCAAGTCTTCGTACCATATATCGGCTTCAGAGTCGAACNNTTGGAAGGATCAGCTTCGATCGTAGAGAACGAGGACGGTCAAACCATGTACCATGCTGATGATCAAGATCCTTGGTTTGATCGATCCCGTAGAGGAGCAAAGGGTTGGCGCGTCTCTCTTTGCCAATTCACCACGGCGTGCGACATCATTCGACAAGGAACGGTATTTTGTCCTGGAGGAAGCGCGAGCGAAAGACGAAGCCAACGCATTGGCAACAAAGAAGGAAGAGAGGCAGAGGGAGATCAGTTTCATATCGTCAATCGTCCAGAAGATACCTGAAAGTGTGGTGAAGAAGAGGCAGGTACAGCACTCGGTCGAATTTATAGATAAGACGTCTGCCGTTTGTTTTTCCGTCTTTGGGAACTGTTGGTATTCTTGTTGTCCGTCGGCACTGGCCGTTATCTGGGTTGCATGCTGTGACCGAAGGTAAGCCTTATCGCAAAGCGTTAATCCGAGCTTGTTTGACGCCACTGTGCGATATGACTGGTATAGACTTTCTTATCTCATATGCAGACGCGCGTCATAGTTTTTTGCCGACCTTACGATCGCATCTATACGTTCCGGAACATGAACCTATGTATAATCTTTACGGAACAACTTCTTAAGCCTGGGATGCGACGAGATGAGGTTAGTCAGTAAACCTCAATTGCAATATTGTATGTTTGGCACAGCGCATCTGTGAATCAGTGTCTAGTGAACGTCTTCCCATCCTTTGGGGTGCCATGAGCATTGCTAAGGCATAGGAGTTCCGTCCGTTGCTACATCCTTTTCTTGTTATCTCGAACTCACTGTAGCTAAAGACTTAGAGTCGTATCTATGCACTTCCCTCGAAGGGGATGAGTTTAGACTGATAGATCATACTTTGACGCAGCCCTTATATCGTATTCCATTCAGTGTCCTTCACGCCCCCTGCCACAGAAGGCAATGGCTGTCTTGGTGTTAGATCTGACTAACACCCCTATCAAGGCTCGATTGACTAGGGATCCCTGGTCTGGAAAAGCGTCCAGCTTTCAGATTCCATGTTTCCGCGTCGAGACTAAAGCTATCCATGTCCTCACGTCTCGTCATCTTCATCTCCAAGTTCATGACTATCCTGTGCATGGCCAGGCAACATGACTGCACGATCGAGAGCATAAGGCAGTCCTCTGTGTCTACCCCTCAACATCATGGCACAGACAATCAACTTACTGAAGATGTGGAAATCACCGCTCAGGCTTGTCAACGTCGCATTGGTTCCCAGACTCAAACCCACATTGCCATACGCACTGGTGACCTCAAACAACACCGCAAACACATTGAACGCAGTGTTGGAGTCATCGCGAATCGCTGCCGCTTCAGCAATGCAGACACAGAATGTACCAAGGAAGATGTACCACAGATCGAAGGAAAGCTGATTGCGGACGTGATGGGCAAGATACCTTGACGGAGCGAGATTGTCTGTGGTGTCTTCGTCCAAGGCATACTTTCCCAGAGCTCGTTCTTCATATGTGTTGCTGACGCGGACACTGATAGCAATGGGAAAAACAGCAATGTACATCATGATGAGGAGACTGAATTGTACGGCGGGGTTGACTTTGGCAAGATTGAAGGTAGAAGTCCCTGTGTGGCGAGAGCTAGCGGATTGGAACAAAGCAGCCATCGCACGTGATCCCAGTGGTAGAGCAGTGACTTCCACGCTGTTGAGATCTAGAACCACGATGAGTAGTGCATCGAAAAAGTTGAGGACAAAGAGTATGCCGAAAAGGATCCAGGTCACATTGCTTGGGAAAAGCAGAGTGTAGCATCTTCTGGGATGATCAAGAAGGTATCGGAGTGTGTCCCGTGTTGGGCTTCGCTGACCAGCACATTTATGCATACTCCAGATGAGGGCGCGCAAGAAGATGGGATAGCACGTATTGCCCGCATAAGCGAGGAAAGTCATGACCAGCATCGGCCAAGTCGCGTCGCGGAAGTGGATCATGGAGTCGGGTGTTAGAGTGAAGCCGAGATTACTGATCATGGTCTGCGAAGAGTAGAATGCCCTATCATAATGTGAGTTTCGACAGCATTGATGAGCAGTTACAGATAATCTTACCACCATACCTCGCCTTGACCCTGCGACGCCAGGTACTGACGATAGCGCAACGGAGCCATCTTGATCCACGGCGTGAGACACAATGCTCCGAGAAGATGTAGCCCAATGAAATAGCCTGCAGCAACACATCAGCGACGTAACAGGCAGGGTGAGATAGCTTCACTGACCAGCAACTATCTTGAGTAATAGTGTCAAGCTTCGGTACTCTAGACCACCAAGGACTTCCTTGTCCTTGGCTGTAAGATTAGCAAATGAAGAATTGCGACCAAGAGTCGCCTGGTGCGACAGCTGTGGTAGATATTCGCACGCAAGACTCTGCCTATGAGACGTGGCCGAAAGCTGGGACGAGCGTCGATGCAGAGGCGGCACACTCGGACCGCGGTCCTTGCTAGTCGACTGATGGCGCCTATCCGTAGTGGTACCCCTCTCAAGAATGTGTTGATGAGTTCTTCCGACGGAGTGAGAAGCAAGAGTTGGATCGTTCATATCTTTCGCCCAAGTGATGCGTAAATCCTCCATTGAGCTTGATACATGAGGTTGAGGTTGAGGTTGACCATGCTGAGTGACTGAAATGGTGATGTCCCGGTCTGCCTCATCATTGACATGGTTGGGGGAGCTTGAGAAAGCTGTCCGAGGCATATCTTGCCCAATAGGTCGGGATCGTGCGGTGCTGAGCCATGAAAGTCGTCTATTGACGAGTTGCAGATTCCGATCTTTATGCACCACCCTCATACGCTTCTCGAAGTATCTAAGGCGTACAATCACGACGATGATATTGATGAATCCGATATTGGTGATGATCGGAAAGATGTAGAGCACGAACTGCTGAAATGTAACGAGATCCTTGACATCCACACTGCAGGTCGTCATTAGCTACTCACGAAATGATCCCATACACGAAAACCGACGCACGTGTTCAGTCCAGACTCGGTGTTGGCGCTCACACCGAAGAAGAAGGCGTCAACGGCTCGGACATTGCCGAACGGATAGATGATGATAAATGCCAGCAAGGAGCAGAGAATGATGTAAGCATCTGTGGATATGTTAGAGCGCTCGCGATGACACATCTTGTGGTCATTGTACCACGAGGTGCACGAGGTGGGACACTTAACCTGGTCGGGATTAGTAGGGCTGCTTTACAATGGCAGGTGAGTGCGTGATTGGATGTCGAGCTTACAATGAACGCTGATGAAGTCAACTCCTACGAACGCCATGTTGGCTGTACCGGGAACTTCTGCCGAATCTTTGTGCGACAAAAATATAGAAGACCAAAGTACGTTCTCGCGAGCGCGATTTATTCTGATTGCGAGCGTGGCTGAGTAAGAGCTTCCATCGCCCATTCTAATTTCTGGTTGGCATAAATCCCTCATGCGGCTCAACTACGCATAACCTATCTTGGTTAGGGATCCGGGAGAGCTTCGGGCGAGCTGTCGGAGGGTCACTCAGGTAGAATTTGAGGCTTGTCAAAGACTCCTATCAATTACTTAGTGTACTACTCACACCCGGTTGGAGTCTGCTTTGGCGGTTGGATATCGTCCGTATCCCCGTGTGCTAACAGGATCCTTGGCCTTGACTGATCTATTGGTCCTGTGAACGCTAGCGACATTTACGCTGCGAACTTTTGCGAAAGGTCGTGACATAATCTCCCTATTGTGCTGCTAAGACACAACAATCCAGATGACGAGCAAACGGAGATCTCTTGCGTTGACCGACGATCCGTCAGAATCGCATGGGTTGTTGCAATGTCTAGAATGATACAATACTTTTGAGATTCGGTGTCGTGCTTTGCCTCTATTCTAGCTATGGATGAGCGATTCCTCGATTAGCAGGAGTGTCCGCTACCAAGACATCAGTCTCAAACAAGAGAGCGATATCCTCTAGAGGCCTAGGAATTGCAGCCTGGTACTCTACGGAGCCGGAGTCTGAAGTGGGTCGGCCAATCGTTGTTAAGGGAGGATAAGCGAGCGGCAAAGCCGACGCCGAACCCCGTAAGGAGTCTACGAGGGTACTTAGAAATGTTTCTAGATGCACTTGTATGGAAGTATCCACACTGGTAGACTCTGGAACAGATTCACACACAAAACCGGCGGCCCAAACACATGATAAGACTCTGGCCATCTTAACAGATATAACAACGACCAGATTTGGCAGAAGCCCGAAAGATCGCATAATCCATCTAACTCTACAAATGAGATCTAAGCATAGATCATTACAAAAAGAAGAAATAGACAGCGTAATTATGATTAGTCGGGAAACAGCCTTATAAAGTAGCGATGGCTTTACCTCGGTGCACCTACACCTTCCATATTTAGAGGTAATTCTTAGTATCTCTTTTAGGACTAGTGTTCTATGCTAAGGCCTTCTTATATAAGGTCTAGAACAAAAACTTAGTGTCTTAGTTAAGAAACAATACATATCTAACATTATACTATTAATTCCGCATTCTCTATTATATAATTAAAAAATCTATGCCCGATATGCCCTATAGACATAAGACCTTTAGATAACTAGATAGCCTTTATGCCTATTTTTCTACTTTCTAAAAATAAGATACGTTTTATGTTTTTAAATAGCTAGTATAAGAAACTACGCTTAAAGCCTACTTAACCTAGTTACCTTTACTATTCTATATGCCTATAACCTAATTACCTACCTATATATATACCCTTTCTTTTCTAGAGCATATAGATCTACTACTAATACTATTATATTTTAAGAAATCTAGAATCTTTATTACGATCTAGTGTTAAGCGTACCGGCTTCTAACTTGTACCTAGCCGATCGTTACTATATT